TCGGTAATTACCTGTTAATTACCTGGTAATAAGTGTACTGTGAAAGAAAGCATTACTATACTTTTATTTACTTCTATCAAATCAATATGATCAATAAATTACTAAAAAAACACCTGAAAACAGTCAAATAAATAATAAAAAAGTCCTTGTAGTTGATCAGTTTAAAAAAAAAAAATTCAAAAAAATTTATCAAAACAGATCAATAAATATATTTGTTAAATTTTAAGGACATTTTGATTTTTTTCAGCTCCAAAAATAATTTTATTTTCTGACCATATTTTGTGTTTTCAGGCATTAAAGGTTTTCCATTTTTTCTTTAGGTCATAAAGTTTCTCAAAATTCGGAGAGAAACTTTCCTCAGTTCTTACAGATCCTTCCGAACTTTTTTAAGGTTATGAAAAGTTTTTTTGAGATTCTGAGAAACTTTCGTCAGGTTCCGAACTTCTGCAAGATCCAGGAAACCCTTAAAGTTTTTACTATTTTTGTGAGAATCTGAGACAAACAGCAAAGTTAGGATTGAGTAAAAATCTACAGTTGATTTTGTAAACTTGAATTCTGACTGATTATCGTCTAATATCAACATTAAAGCAGCTGTGTGGAACTCTGGGTCTGTTTTATCGTTCAGGTCTTTTGGATCTGAAACCGTTTTTAAATGTTTCTGAGAGGACAGAACGAGGAGTACAACAAGTCTGAACATTCAGCCAATGTTGATAAAAACAGGGTTTTACAGATGAAATAAGAATGATTCAAATAAAACTGAGAATCTATTCATGATTTTAGACGTTTGTCTCGTTCATGTCAGAAAAAAATCACATGGAAAAACTCACACACACACTCTTACACACTCTCACACACTCACACACTGGAGGGCAAGCTGAGACTAATGACTACCCAGGATGCTTTGTGGCACTCGTACTCGCAGCATGCCGAGGCTCATCCTTTGCCTCCTGTTGTTGCCACGGTAACCACAGTTTGAGTGAAGACTCACAACACCTGCACAGCTGATAGAGATGTGTTTCTGTATCTGTGCGGCTCCTCACCTGTTACCAAACACTGTGTGTGTGTGTGTGTGTGTGTGTGTGTGTGTGTGTGTGTGTGTGTGTTATTGATTCAAAGGGGATCTGTGATGAACAGATTCAGGAGCCCAAACAAAGTTAGCGTGCTACAATATCGGACAGTAGAAACCAACCAGAAAGTTCGGAAAATTGTCTGAATCCTCCTTTGGCCACGACTGCCGACACAAGCAAGAAAATACTCAAACATAAACAGTCAGCAAGAAAACAGTCAGCAAGAAAACAGTCAACCATAAACAGCCAACACCAAAAGAGTCAACAAGAAAACAGTCAACAAGAAAACAGTCAACAAGAAAACAGTCAACCATAAACAGTCAACACCAAAACAGTCCACGAGAAAACAGTCAGCAAGAAAACAGTCAACCATAAACAGCCAACACCAAAAGAGTCAACAAGAAAACAGTCAACAAGAAAACAGTCAACCATAAACAGCCAACACCAAAACAGTCCACGAGAAAACAGTCAACAAGAAAACAGTCAACAAGAAAACAGTCAACCTGCTCCCCCGTGTCAGTCAAAACCAAAACAGTCCACGAGAAAACAGTCAACAAGAAAACAGTCAACAAGAAAACAGTCAACCATAAACAGTCAACACCAAAACAGTCCACGAGAAAACAGTCAACAAGAAAACAGTCAACAAGAAAACAGTCAACAAGAAAACAGTCAACCATAAACAGTCAACACCAAAACAGTCCACGAGAAAACAGTCAACAAGAAAACAGTCAACAAGAAAACAGTCAACCATAATCAGTCAAAACCAAAACAGTCCACGAGAAAACAGTCAACAAGAAAACAGTCAACAAGAAAACAGTCAACCATAAACAGTCAACACCAAAACAGTCAGCAAGAAAACAGTCAGCAAGAAAACAGTCAACCATAATCAGTCAACAAGATAACAGTCAACAAGAAAACAGTCAACAAGAAAACAGTCAACCATAAACAGTCAACACCAAAACAGTCAGCAAGAAAACAGTCAGCAAGAAAACAGTCAACAAGAAAACGCTGCTCCCCCGTGTCGTTCAGGAGCCCAAACAAAGTTAGCGTGCTACAATATCGGACAGTAGAAACCAACCAGAAAGTTCGGAAAATTGTCTGAATCCTCCTTTGGCCACGACTGCCGACACAAGCAAGAAAACAAAGTAAATACCGGAGACTCTGGAGGAATAACAGGCGCTTAAAACGGAGGTAGACCGGACAAGAGCTAAAAAGACGGGTCAACATAAACGATGGGGTTTTGGAAATGAAAAGTTTTGGACATTTGAATCCAGATTTAGTGAATATAATAACATTAATGTGGAGAATTCAACATTTACTACATGTTGTTTACTCATTTAAACTAAGACTGTCACCGACCACATCGCTGTTGTATTATAATAAAATGTTGAGAGACTGTCAGAAAAGTCAAAGTTCTCGAGAGGCATAAAACTTTGATTAGCACGCACCATTAGCATCGTAGCCGTCTCGGTGTCAGTCGGCGACTTTATTAAACTCAAAACAAGCACATCTTAGAGCGACAGCCTGAAAAACACTTACAGATGTTGGAGAAAGGAGGAGAAAGAAACACGATCAGCTCAGGGGGGAGCGGACACCGATTCTCGATCAGCGAGCACCTGATGCTCTCAGGTGTGTGAAGTCGACCTGTCGGAGTTTCCGTCTGTGTTTGTTGATCTGTGAACTCAGGGCAGCAGAAATCAAACGTCTCTAAATGATCCCTGTTTATAAATAAAGGTTGAATTTGAATCAGCGCCGCCGCCGTCGTCTCCTCTCAGCTGTACTTTCCCTCTGTTGCCTTTTAAGTGACAAATGCTAACGCTAGTGGCTAATTAGTGACTCCTGAGGCCTCTCCGTGTGGCCCCGCGTAAGCTAAGTGTAAAGTCATCTGCACTTCAACAGGAAGCAACCATCACAAGCTAACAGCTATCAGCTAGCCTGTAATTATGAACGCCACCCGAGCTTCACCCTCAACAACTTATCATGTTGTTTAGCCATTAGCATGAGCTAGCACGCCGCCCTAGCTTGGCGCGGAGCTCGCCCTGGCATTTCAAAGCGGTAATTATCACAAACTGGTTGGCAAATGCTACTTAGCCCGGTTCAGGGGTCAGAGGAATTATGGGAGATTGAGTCCTGGGAGTCAGGCGGGGGCGTGGCCGGTTAGCCGGCGAGTGTTTTGTTTTGGATAATGATAGAGTTTATCGGCAGGTCGCTCCACCGCACTCTCACCTGTGAACACACACACTCACACACGTCTCCTCTTACCTTCACTGCTCCTTTCCTTCCTTCATCGCTTCCTCAGCTCCTCATCCTCCTCCTCCTCCTCTCCCTCCTTTCCTTGTTTCCTCCTTTAACGACAAACATTTCCAGTAAACATAATAACAGAGGGCATCGACCTGTTGCTAGGCAACAATTACAGCAACGACAGAGAAGCAGGGTGATTACTGAGTGTGTGTTCATGCGTGTGTTAATGTGTGTGTGTGTGTGTGTGTGTGTGTGTGTGTGTGTGTGTGTGTGGTAAAAGCAGCAAACAAACAAACAAAGAAGAAACTCACCTCCTCTTCCTCCTCTTCCTCCTCTTCCTCCTCTTCTTCATGCAGACTTCATCTTTAAGTCCTTTTGGTTCCTGGTCCAAGTTCCCAAACTTTCCATGAGTCCAGGAAATAGTCAGTACCGACTCTGAAAGTATCCGCAGCAGTTTTAAACAAAGGGTTCATGTTTGACTTAAAAAAAGATAAAAGGTTTTAATTTTTACTTTAACAGATTAAAAAAACTCTCATTAGATTTTGTGTTTGTTTTGGTTTTAGACAGAAAATGATCCTCCTCTAGTTTTCATTTCTGAGCCTCTTTTCCCTCCAACAAATTGAGTCTTACTTCCTTGTTGTGATGCATTTCCTGTCCAGACAGGATGTTGGAGAATCAAACTTTATTTTGAAAACTTTTTAAGTCAGTCATTAACTACAGATTTCACAATATTGAGAAATCTGAAGCAAAAAGAAAAGGTTGTAAAGTATGATAAAAAATAGATAAAAAAATAAAAATAAAAAATACAACAAAACTTTATAAGAAAAGTTAAAATTAACATTGGAACTCTGACTTTTTTATTTATTTTTAATTTGACAGTTTTCACAAAATATAAAAATAAAATCATTTTATGAAACACAGACATTTAATTAATAAAATAAATTCTCTCCAGACACAAAAATACTCACACAGACATTTAGCCAGAAATATTTTACATAAAGCTGAAACAGCAATAAAAAATATTTCAAAATATAATAGGCAAAGAATTTTAGGCAAATTAAAAAAAAAATTAGAACCTGAAACCTTAAAATAACTATAAAAGCAACTTAAGCAGAGCACAAAAACAAAAAAATACAACATTAAAAAATTAAATGAAAACTTATTTGACAAAATTTTAAAAACTACATCAGTCAGAAATTTTCAACAAAATTGAAGAAAATCACAAAAACCAAAAAAACCAACAAAATGCCAAAAATACGAAAAAATAAAAATAATTCAAAAGGCCAAAAAACATTTTTACAAAGTTTAAGAAATAACATGGAATCTTAAACTTTTTAATTCTGAAATTGTGCTTAAAATAATAAAAATGTAAAAATATCAGAACGATATAAAAATTTTCTATATTTAAAAAATTTAAAATGAAAAGATAATTATATTAAAATTAAACACTTAAAATAATTATCATATTTTTTCTCCAAATGTAACAAAAATTAAAAAAATGCAACACATAAATAACCCACAAAAAATTCCCAGAAAATACAAAATATTTACAATTAAAAGAAAAAAAAAATGAAATTATGAAACTGAAAATTATTTAAAATTGTTGATTTTCAGGAAATGGAAATAATCAAAAAAACAAAAAGGTAATCACGGCATCTGGTTAGACTGCTGCTGATGGCAGAGGTCAAAGGTCAGAGAGGCGGCTTCTTAGCTTACACAGGCCACACACACGTGCGCGCGCACACACACACAGTATATATAGTAGCTTTACTCTTTTTTACTGAGACTTTGGGCAAGGGGTTAGGGTTAGTCATCAGTGAGATTTTAAAGGATCACTGAACGACGTGCTCTCACACTTACACTTCACACACACACACACACACACACTTCCTGCTGATGAAGACTGGAGCTGTCAGCACACACACACACACACACACACACACACACACACACATTCCTTCAGCTGCTGGTGGATTGAGTGGAAGCGTCTTGGCTCACAGATGGCTCATCTCAACTCAACATGTTTTTTCTCCTGAACTTTATTAGTCTGAGGATTGACGACACTCTCGGGTTTCGGCCGTTCGTCACCTGATTTATGAATCGATTTGTTTGTCGCCATTTTAACTCGAGAGGAAATTAAACTTCAGAGGCTTCAGCAGGAAAATACAACCGTAAAGTTTATTTGGTTTTGTCTCGAATTTAAAAAAATGTCAGTATGATGAAAACTTTTTAATACAACCCTCATATTATTGTTCTCCAGTCCGTCTTTTTGGAAATCATGGACAGTGATCCTTTTTAAAAACCAAGGGCACAAAATTCTCTTGAGAAATCATGATTGTGAAAAAAGAAAGTACGGATGCTTTTCCATTTCTTCATCATAAACACTTTACATCCTTTTTGGAAATCGTGGACGCTGCAACGTTGGTTTTTACCTGCTGTCTCATAAAAATAATAAAAACATAAAAATAAAAATGTTGTAAATTAAACAGTCATTTCCTTTAACTATACAGTCGATATACAGATGTTTTATCAAACTTTTTATTTTTTATTTTTATTTAAGCATTTCTTTAATTTTGCACCACAGTTCACATTGACACACCCACACAAACGTCGCAAAAACAGAACAAGAACAGAGCGGAATACACACAACAAACCAACATCAAAACTAAACAAATACAAACGTTAAAGAAACAAACATTGAAGCAAACAAACACTGCCAACCACCAAAAAGAAAACAAATGAATAAATAAATGAATTAAAAAAAAAAGGTATGGGGTGATAAATTCATCATGCTAAAAAAAAATAAAAATAAAATAAGAATTAAAATAATAAAAATAAAAAATAAAATGAAAAAAAAAAAACTCTGAACAACATATCAAACCAAAACATCAGACTTTTTTTTAAATTCTGAAACTCCTTAAATTATCCTAAAAATCTGAACTCTCCTCTTTTATGGACATTGAACGCAGCACAAGGTAATGTAAGACTACAGATCGAGTGAATCTGGTTCAGCCCATATGTATTTGTGATGTGGTCAGACACACACACACACTTACACACACACGTGCGCACACAGAGGCGTTGGAGTTGCAGTAATGCGGTCTGAGTCTGGTTAGGATTGATTTCCTGCCCGCTCGCTTTAATAAATGTCTTCCAGAGTCATTAAAGGAGGAGAAGACATCAGCTCCCATCGATCCTCACAGTTCATCACACAATAATATTCACTATTTAGAGCAAACGGATGGTCGAGAGTCTATTAGAGAGAGTGGATCACATACAGGAGAGAGAGAGAGAGACGGTCGGGTGAGTTTGTTTTCTGACTCTGAGTTCGGACTGTAAATGTTGGACTGAGACGTCATGGAAACAGAGTTCGGCTTTTAAGAACAATTCAGAGTTGAAGTACGACCGCAGAAATATGGAAGTCAAAGATGTCAGAGGACTTCTTTAACCGCGCCGGGTTCAACAACAACTTCTCAACTACCAGAGACATTTTATCCTGTGAGGGAGTCATGGACGCCACATCCTGTCAGCTGATAAATAAAGACTTAGCTTTGTTTTGGAAATCATGGACGCCACATTCTTATAGAAAATTTTAAAGGTCATGACCTTAGCCTGTTACCGTACCACACCGTTACAAAACAAACCTGAAATGAGTCTTAATTTGTTTTAAAAACGGTCCGTTTTAAAGTTTTTACACTTTTTATGTTTTCTTTATTTTGACGAGAAAGTGGGGAGAGTTTCTCTGTGAGAGACTGTGTGAGAGTAATGATCATCAGAGAAAGATCACAAAGAGACCAGGACCAAAACCAGGACCTGATGGTTCTGATCCACACTGCATTAAAAACAGACAGACTCTAGAGTGGAGGTCATCGCATGGGCTTAAAATTCATGTCTTTTGCACTTAATTAAAAACGGTTTAAAATCCCTCAAATGATCTTGTTTGTAAATTTTATCAGTAACATTTTCGACCTTTAGCTTCTCGGCACGGCTAACAGTTTCCATTAGTTTCCATTCTTTGTGCTAAGCTAGGCTAACCCTCTACAAGAAAATAATCCATTCAACAAAATACAGAGCACGCCAGACAAAGTGTGTGTGTGTGTGTGTGTGTGTGTTTGTGTGTGTGTGTGTGTGTGTGTGTTCAGCAGAGACACTTAGACTCTGCAGTAAACACTCATCTCTTATTAACACACCACATCTCTAAAACATGAAGCTCAGCCGGCGGCGGACCATCCATCGTCGATCCACGTCAGGCTGAGAGGAAACATTCAGCACACTCTGACTGCGCACACACACACACACACATGCACGCACTACTCTGTAAGTGTGTGTGTGTGACTGTGTGTGTGTGTGTGTGTGTGTGTGTGGTCAGAGGAGGGTAATATCTGCTGACTGATGGCGGCGACGACAGGAAGGTCCTGAAGCAGCCATCAACTAACCGGACTGTAAACACAGAGAGTGGTGTGTGTGTGTGTGAGTGTGTGTGTGAGTGTGAGTGTGTGTGTGTGAGTGTGTGTCCATTGATTAATTGATTGATTATCATCATGTTACTGATGTCAGGTCGTGGCGATGAGCTTCAGCTGTTGAGGGAGGAGAGTTCGTGAGAATCGCTGCAAAGAGGTTCAAGTGTGTGTCTGTGTGTGTCTGTGTGTGTGTGTGTGTTTGTGTGTGTGTTTGTGTGTGTGTGTGTGTGTGTGTATTTTAAGAGTGAGAGTTGTTAATGAACCTCGAGGCCTGTGTGTGTGTGTGTGTTTGTGGTTGTTGTGATGTGTTCACTAAAAACACAGAAACTCCTGTCTGTGTTTTTACTGACTTTAGCTCAAACACTCACAGATGATTTGTGTCTTTTAACCCATTTTAACTGATTTTAACCAACTTTTAAGTCTGCGTTTAAAGAGTTTGCTGACTTTTTAGTGAAGCTTTAACCATGTTTGGGTTTTTATTTGATTTTATCTGTTGTAGCAGAGAGTGAGAGTGTGAGTTCCCGTAAGCTTTATTGGGTTTTAAAAGGTTTTAAAAGGTTCTGATTGCTTTTAATATTTTACTTTTATCTTTTTGTTTTTACTGGACAAAAGGTTTTAGTCATCAGACTCTTGCTGGATCAGCTACATGGCGACCATGGAGGTTACCGCCACAGACGCCAAGTTGGTTTCCTCCTCCGTCTGCATCCCCCTCTTCAACAAATACTCAGATTGATTAATTATTTAATTATCAAAATGTTTGATTGATTCTCTCTTTAAAAAAAACACGGACTGAACCTTTAAACGGAGAGGTCACTGTGAGGTCAGAACATTATTTATGATCAATATGAGAAATGAAAGAATGAAAACAACAACAAAGAATTAAACAAACAATACAGTAAATACAGTGTGTGTGTGTGTGTGTGTGTGTGTGTGTGTGTGTGTGTGTGTGTGTGTGTGTGTGTGTGTGTGTGTGTGTGTGTGTGTGTGTGTGTGTGTGTGTGCGTATTTAACACATGATAGGATATCACATACAGCAGGATCATCTTCATGTGGACGTCCTGATGTCTCTCTATCTTTCTCTCCAGAGAGGGATGAGTTTCCCTGACACACACACACACACACACACACACACACACACACACACACACACACACACACACACACACACACACACACTTCAATCCTTCCATCCTGCTTTTTGCTCTCTATTTCAGTCTAAACTGGATTTGTTCTGCATCTTGAGTCACCTCGGAGACACAAGATATCTGCTCTGAGTGTGTGTGTGTGTGTGTGTGTGTGTGTGTGTGTGTGTGTGTGTGTGTGTGTGTCTGTGTGTGTGTGTGTGTGTGTGTGTGTGTGTGTGTGTGTGTTTGGCTGGAAATCTGATTGCCGTTATGGATTTTTTAAATCGCTCTCGAGGTTTTCAGGAAAATCTGTCAACTTGTGTTTTTGCACTTCTGTGGTCACACAAACACACAAACGCACACACACACACACTCACACACACTCACTCACGCGCACACACAGAAGTGATGATGGCTTGTGTTTGTATGATTCAGTGGCAGAGAAACACAAACACAGACGTGGTTTCTTTTTAAAGCTCGGAGACCAAACCGAGTCTGTCAGTAAATATGTCTCCTGCTGGAACATCGCAGTTCTCGTTTTTTCAACGATCATTTCGCCTCAGCTGATCACAAGAGACATGGAGACGAACAAGTGAAAGGTTTTTAGACGTCATTTCACCCCGATGACACCATGAATGAGGAGATGCTGATTCTAGAAGTCTAGAAGTAGATTTCCTCCTCTGGAAGGACACAATCTACTGTTTATATGTCTATGTGTCTGTCTTTATAGAGACAACTCGTTATCGCGCGATTGAACGTGAGTTCTTGTGACTTCTCACAATTCCTGCTGTCCGTAATCCACCACGAAATTCGGAATTCAAGGGTGAAAATCGCCGCCGTTCTGGATACGGTGGAAATTTGGAGAGCGACAGTTGTTGGTTTTAAACCCACTTAAGTAAAACAAACAATCCCCGATCTGTTTAGTTTAGCTAGCTAAGTTTAGCTCCTATCCAAGTACGGCTCACCAGACTCGTAAATAACGCTCCTTTTTTATCTACCATGTCTGAAAATCTAAGTTACTTTTTCGCCCTCATTGAGGATTCTTGCTTAATCAGACAGAACCATCAATGTGATGCAGACTGCAGTTCACTGAATGACCACCGGTGTCACTAAAGGACTCTTTGAGCATCCCTGCTGAACAAATAACGCACATTCTTCTTAAACGGTCCAAAACGTACGGCGCGCTGTGAATTCAAGCGTGTCTGATCAGGTGTTGCTAGTTAAGCGGCGCACAATCAGTAACTGTATTTTCTTTATTCAATCTTTATTTTTCATTTAATCGCATTTTTCCGATTCTTCTCGTACCTTATAAACCAGATGCGAGGTGACCCGGTAACAACTAGTTGAAAAGGAGCATGTCGCCGTCTACCATAGCGACCGTGGACACGCCCCCTTTTAGTTTATTGACCTTTTTTTGCATGTATAAGAAGGTCCCTTATTTGTATTTTCTTCCGAAGCTCACCGTCCCTGTAAACCATGATCCCCCACACACGGACTCGCTCTGATGTCTTCGGTCGATTTCGAAGGAGCCCCAAACAGCTTGTGACCCCTGACCTTTGACCTCCTTCCAGTTTTTCTTGTACCGCTGATCTGCGAGCGACCGCGGCTTGTTTTACAGCTGACCTCACCGAGAGACGGCGAGGCCAAACAAACACTTTAACCGCGTGAAAGGCGGGAAAGTAACTTCCTGATGTAGACGGAGAGAAGAAGAAGAAGAAGAAGAAGGAGGAGGAGGAGGAGAGGAAGAGCGAGGATGTAAAGCGAGATGTAACGTGAGAGACGGAGGTGTGAGTTAATGTGTCCATCTCTCTGAGTGTGTGTTCAGTCTGTTTATCCACCCCAGAGAGCGTGTGTGTGTGTGTGTGTGTGTGTGTGTGTGTGTGTGTGTGTGTAAGGTGATTACAGATCTGGAAGCTTTGGTTACATCCCCTTCTCTCCTCCCGACCAAACGGCGGTGGGTTTGATGGTTTTAGTGCCTCTCTCCGCTCGATGCAAATCTCATCACCAGTTTTCAGACACGAACGCTGGGAAGCGACAAACAGAAACCGGAGAGAGGCCGCATTAACGCCGCCCGCCGCGGCTCCTTCAAGAAAAGAAAAAGGAAACCAGAGGCTGAAAATATGGCGTCGGGTTTCAGCCGTTTGGAAAATATCCTCAATTTGATCAAAAATTTATAATGTGACTTTTAGAGCGGCTCTGGTTTCCTGGAGGCTGCTGCTGCGCATTATACAGCTCCTTTAATGCAGTTAACACACTTAAACACACCGCGCTGCCCTGCACTCCGCGTGTGTGTGTGTGTGTGTGTGAGTGTGTGTGTTTGTAACGCAATACGAGTCTGAATGTGAGGGTGTGTTTGACCGTCCGGAGCTGCGAAAAAGACTCAAAATCACAGTTTTCAGAAGAGTTCGTTATCGGGAAGACGATAAGTTTTTAAAAACGTTTAAAATGATCTTAAAATGAATTTTAAGACACGTATTAAAATAAAAAGCAGGAGCAGGATTCTTCGTTGAAACGGACGTGTTGCTAATGAGGATTCTTGCTTAAGCAGACAGAACGATCAACATGATGCAGACTGCAGTTCACTGAATGACCACCGGTGTCACTAAAGGACTCTCTGAGCTGAACAAATAATGCGCATTCTTCTTAAATGGTCCAAAACGTACGGCGCGCTGTGAATTCGAGCGCGTCTGATCACATGTTGCTAGTTAAGCGGCGCACAATCAATGGCGGTATTTTCTTTGTCAAACGTTAATTTCATTTTCTGTCTGTTAACGCACTTTTCCGATTGTTCTCGTACCTTATACCTTGCTGTCTACCTTAGCAACCATGGACACGCCCCCTTTCAGCTTTTTGACTTTTTTTTGACATATAAGACGTTCCCTTATTCGTATTTTCTTTCTTTTTCATATTAAATAAAAATTAGGGGCAGGATTCTTCGTTGAAAGGACAACTGGACAACCAGAAGAGGGTTAGATCTTGATCCATCAGACCTCAGGAGAGTTTACGGACAAATGATCGTAACACTTTGAACTCGGCTGGACCGCCATCGATCGAATAGTTGACAGTTTCTCAGGAACTATACCGTGTGTCTCTACGGGATGAAAAGTGTTCAATAGTTTTCCATTTAGTCGATCTATCGAGGGTTTCCAGACTTTTCTACACCTGCCACAAGGTTTACAATCCAGCTACAAAAACAGGTGTTTGATCAGAGACGATTGATGGTAAATCTGCAGTGAAAACAGGATTATTGATCAGATTGTTGTGATCAAAATAAATCTCTAAATGCCGCTAATGTCTTCCAGGTTTGACGAGCTGTTTTGATGACGTCATTTTCTGTCAAACTTTCGACCAATTACATCAGACCTGGGGATTTGGATGACCCTGCCCGGCCCTTCGTGAGGTCCGTCAGTCAAATCATCAACATGCTATACAAGTGTGTTGTTTTATTTTGAAAATCTAGCTGTTGTTTTATTTCCGTCTGGACCCACGTGTGTGATTTTTTGGGTTTGCTTTTCTGTATGTGTGAACTTCCTGGTTTGAAGTTGAAGTTCTTGTTGGTTCGGTCCTCCAACACAGTTCAGGATTCTCATGAGGGTTAAGCCCATGCG